TTTTAGCACAGAAACAGGAATTACTGAAGATGTACATTACTTTTTGAGATGACAAACAAACATGGACAGTAACTCAATCTAACATTCCAATTTTTAAAACGTATTCAGTTCTTACAGATTTGGTTTATACCACCTACCCAAATCTCATCTATAAAAGTGAGCACATATACCAAAAAAAAATCAGCTTCCCCAAAGCACTGCTATGGAGAAAGGCCTGCCAAGCCAACTTGTGACTTCTGTTGGATTCTCAGAGTTCCGAGCAAGGAGTGATCCTGCTCCACATTCTCAGAATATCAAGCTTTGAAACAGTCAGAAGGCTCTTGATCCTTACCCTCACTAAGGATAGACTTTGGACATGGCAGTAAGTGCGCATTACAGTCTCTCTTCAAGCATAGACCAGAAAGTTATTAAAGACAAGCCTCTACTGAGGCTGATGACTAACTACACAGAGGCACTTCTAGATAAAGAAGCCCTCAAGCTGTAAGTGTCTGGAGGACAGCAGAGAGAGCATTCAAGAAAAGTATTATATATATTTCACTTCCTCTGTTTATATAATCTTAAAATTTTTGGTTTTGGCCACAGTAGGCTAGATGGGTCTTTTTTTGGAGTTACCAGAAAAAAAACTGCTCTGACATTCTTCTGAGTAGCTCTCCCTGAAATCACTATTTCTGCTATTCTTGTTTCTCAGTCTTTACTTCTGTCTGCTTTCTCTTTTTTTACCTTATCCTCTGTTTTTTCCTCCCATTTCTTTACCTCATGTCATCCAATCCCTACCTCTAATATCCTCTGTATTTCTTCCATGTGGATGATACTGATCTTTACATGCTGCAACTTTGCTTCACACTTCAGGCAGAGCAATAGGACATATGTATTAATACTCCAAGGTCATTGTTTTGAATCCATCTGTAGACTCAAAAACAAATGTACAGCTATTTCACTCAGATAGCATTTTCTTCAAAAGACCAAAATAATAATATATTTCCCTTTTTAAAAAATAAAATAAAGAACAAAAAATGTTTGCACAAATTACCTAGGCTTCAAAAATACAGTAGTCAAGGAAGCAGGCTATTAATCATGTGTTTTACATCTTTGCTTTAGAGACAGGAATCATCTCCAGATAGTAAGATTATGGAACAGCAGACAGTCATTACTTCGATAAAGATACTCTACAGGTTAAGAGTATACAGCTTCTGAAAAATGGTGAAAATCGAAAACCTGGCAGGGGGTGATGAGGAAGGAGACCAGAAATAAAACAAGAATATGCCTTCCAGCGTGCAAGACCAGAGGGACAGGACAAAGGAAAAAACTGTACAAGATTTATTTCTCTTCCCTTATCTGAAAAGAACTTTCCACATAAAAATTTCAGGGAGTCTACTCATTTTCAGGACAGAGGATTGTACAGTAACAGTTTTCTAAGCATTCAGTTCATGCAAAACATACTAACACCAATAGGAGGATCACAAGCAGCAGAGCAATATCAGAAAACTGGAATCATCTATTTCAGATGTTGACATAAGATGTATAGGAACAAACATACTATCTTAAGTCAGAGCTATGGTGGAAAACAAACTTCCACATACTGACTTGCTTACATATGATTCCTCAACTAAACATTTTCAAACAAAATTCTTTGTTGCATGTCAAAAATTCATCTGATCAAAAATTAGGATTTACTTCCTTACAAAGTCAATGAATTTGACTTCTTTTATTTACTAATATAAGCCTCTAGCTGTGTTTTTATGACAAGATTACTCTACACTCAGGCTTAGATGGCTTTCCTGGCAAAAAAAGTTTTCAATTTGATCACAGATTTATTCTAAAAGCAACTTTCTTCTCTTCTCTTTCTCTCCAGAGAGACTTCAGTAACAGTCTGGATAGGAACCAATATCTGTATACTACTACTACTGAGTATTAATATACTAAATTCTCCCTACTATAATATTAGGTGATATTTAGACTTTGACCTCTATAAAAGTGCTTAAAAAAGAACTATCAAGTTGTATTAAAATAACTACTTATAGGCATAGACTGCCATCTAGTGATTTTGATTATCTATGGAAAAAATCAAGACCAACCAAACAAAAAACCTAAACAACCTCTCTCCTACTGGAGAGGAAAAAAACAAAACACTAATTCCTTTGTATTTTACATCAACATATAGAAACAACCTGATATTATATCACTTGTATCTCATATTATGTTGCTGGTAAATGCAGGAGGGGAATGGGGAAAGAAGAGTCAGTAAGTACGTAATCTTCCTTGTACAGGTAAGGTCCATGAGGTTGCTCGTTCATCAATTCTGTCAGGAATTCCTCCTCAACATCTTCAGTTCACTCCTCACCTAGACCTAAATCTCAGAATCTGCAAGACAAATGGATCTTCGGAAGATCTTTCCATGATGAATCTGTACGACAATCTGGTTTTTTTAAGTAGGAAAACGGCAAAAAGCTTTTCAAATTTCTCCTTCTCTTCCAAGTAACACCGTTTTCCTCTAGCAAACACAATCTTTGCAATGTTCTGAATGAATGTGAAGAGATAGTTTCCTATCTTGTTAATTTGATCATGCCAGCACTTTTTGTATCCACACTTTTCATTTTAAAATCACATGAAACAAGAGCACTACTTAGTTTTTCCTTACCAAATCTATCCTCTTTTTCACCATAAAGAGGTCAGTACCCTTTTTCATCAAATGGCAATACTAGCTTTCATTAGCCCTTCTTTAACATTCATATAAATACTTCCACAATTTCTGATGTTGCCTCTCCTGCTTTAAAGGAGTTCTTTTCAAATATTCCCAAAGTCATGTCATATCTTCCTCAAAAATCTCATTAAAAATCTTTGTCGTTATACCCATAAAATAAATCTGATTCTAGCTAGGCTGCTGATGTGCTATGACTGTTACTTATACTGACTAACACAGTGTAAATAGTGTTTTGCACTTCCTCAGCAATACCCATCTCAACAGCACCCCCACACTCTGGGGCAGGCTCTATCACAGAGTCCTCGAGCAGTGCTGGCACTTTTGAACACACCATCAACAAAATGCTACTACAAGAATCAAATAGATGTCTTTCCTTCATTACAATATTATATGACTTCCTTACACCAAAGGAAACAAATGACCCTCAAAGGAACACCCTAACGATGTAGAGTTTGCTCCTTCTGTCTTTTAAACTGGAGATGTTCACTAAAAAACAAGAAGGTTGCTTACGGAGCCATCTGCTTATTTCCCAAATGAAGTCTTCTGTTGCCCATGTTTCCAGCAACTGACAGCTGTCTCAGAGGTTTTGTTTTCACATGAAGTGTAGTAAATGGAGTTAACATATCACACCAGAATTACAGAAATCTAACTCAATCTCAACATGCAGCACTGAAGAGCATTGCTAATAAAAGTCCTATCCAAACTATTTGAACATTAATGTAAAAAAAGAGAGTGAGAAAGCATCCACATAATAACTGAAGCAGAGAAACAAGACAACAAAATACACTTATGTTTCTAAAACTTCTTAAAAGTATAGCCTTGCTCCTCTCCCTTTTCCGGTTCACTCAAAAAAAAAAGTGGATCTTGGTGATCTCCAAGATGACAGTACCTCGTCTCCTCCAGATGAGGAAAATGAAATAGATTTAATCACTGGCTGCAAGTGGTACCAGTCATCTTTGTGCCTGGAAGAAAGTAAGCTGCTGAAACTTAACATTTTATAACCTTTTCTTCTGTTTAATAGCCCAGTGAGGCAGAGAGTAACTGCCAAATTAAAAGCTACCAAGTTACTGTATCCACAACCAGTTTCCAAGACCTGAAAACTGGTATATACTACTCCGCCTGCCATATATGAAACATTGATTCTTTTTTCAGCATTCCAGTAACAATACTTCTTGCAGCAAAATGGGTACTTAATGAAACCACACCAAATAGATAATCAAAGAAGAAACTTAATTGGAAGAACAGTGAAGGACTTTGAAAAGTCCTCTAGATTTGCCAACTAGGTATCACTAACTACGTGGTTAAATTCTATCCATCAAGAACTGTGAAGGTGACACAATATTATTGTGAAACAACACATAGTCAGAAAGTCTTTTCCTTCCCCACACCTTTCTTAGAAGCCACTGATACTCAGCTGTAGGAGATTGTCCCTCAGAAATAGCGGAACTAAGTTTCTTCACAAATGAACACAAGATACAGATTAATTTAAACCATAGATCACAGCAGAATTTTTTTAAAGCTCCTTCAAGTTTTAAAGAAATTCTCTATTTAGAACTTACTTAAAAAATAAGCTTTCAACAAAAAAGTTCTTGCAAGTACTAATTTTCCTTTTCCACTGAACTCACATGAACTGTCTGAGGTATGAGATGATTAAATATCATGTTATTTTTCATATACTTTCACAAATCTGTTTTTACTATCTAGTGAAAAAGGCTACTTCTAAGCTCTTTGAGACGAAGGTTGGTACCACTTCTCTGAATGCCTTCACATGAGTCTCCCAAACAAGTAAACCAATCACATTCTAGATGAAGCACAAGCATAGCTGTAACACAACATTTCTACATTGGCTTTCCAGGCCATGCTAGAAAATACTATATTTAACAAAGAGTTTTAATCCATTTTTATGTAATTCCTTTACAGTTCTTGACAGATAGGACCAAAAAGCGTTGCCATGTATTGTTGCTAAGAGGCTTTAATTTGATTATAGTAATTAATGGGGCCACAACGATGAACATCTGGTCCAATCACAGTTTAAAAAAATGAAGTTATATGGATAAAGTTAGTTGAAGAAATAGAAGACTCTCGCAATTATGTCAGCAAGTTTCAAAAGCTTTGAAAGCTTACATAAATACTAACACGTTCAAAACTTTTTCTGTTTCCAAGGGGAGAAAGGAAAACAAAAATCCGTTTACAAGGCTCCTCTGTCCCATGTTCTTCTGTTCACCCACAAACCACAGAGGGGTACAGAAGAACAGAGATGCTCATAAGAAAACAACGTCAGATTTAAAAGTAAACTTACCATATTTGTCTCGCAAGCCAACTGTACACCTGAAGACTCCACCAAAGGCCACATCTTCACCAAATATTACTGAAAAATAAGATCAGCAGAGGAGGCCAATGTCACTGCAATGCATCTTATTTTTAATGGCTGTGTTTCAAAGATTTTTATACGAGACATTAATGGAAGTAGCAACTAACATTTCATTTTACTTCAAGATTTATCTGGACCTACGCGTTTCTCATGCACAGCCTACTCATAATAAATAAAGAACCAAGGTTAATGAGGAATCAGTACAGCAACATAACTATGTCTCAAAACAGAATTCATTAAACTGATTCAGCTGTGCTTTCATTAAACCATCTATTTATTTTTCTGAAACATTCTATAATATCACAGTATCTAAATCTAAACGAATAAAAGAAATTCCAAGAAACAATTACATTCAATCACTAAAGAGTCATTGAAGTTACATGTTCTGCTTCCACTGGTAACCATCTCCATTCTTCATCCACAGATTTCAGTGGATGTAGCATTTTGAAAAATGTCAAATTGAAGTTTTCTTCAAAATACCAATCCAACATGAAATTTCAAACCTTCTCAAAACATACTTGCCAGACTTCTGAAGGGTGACTTCAGAGGAACACCTCTACAGAAAAGACTGATATCTAATAACTAGGACAACTCTCAGTATTCAACATTACTATCCTTATAGCAGGACTGATGCAGCCAATAAGGTTTTATCAGTAAAAGTAATTGCCTCTAAAACTGTGGTGGGTTTATGTGATGGAGTTTTGGTAGCAGCAGAGGGGCTGCAGAGATAGCCCCTCTAAGAAGCTGCAAGAAGCTTCCCAGGCTCCAAAAGCAGTCAGACCAGCCTCTGGTCAGGTCAGACCCTCCTCCCCTCAGGCCAGGGCTAAGCCGATCAGCGCCTCTGCGAATGCTCTATTTAAGAAGGGGACAAAGGAGCCCGAAGTGGGCTGGACCTGCAGTGAAGAGAGCAGGGAAGTGGGGGGCTGGCCCCCCTCCGACCTCCCAGGTGAGTGGCTGCTCATGCTGGGCTGCTGCTACCGGACTGGAGACGGCCGCAACAGTGTGGCTTGGAGAGCTACAAAGAGCCCCACTCCCAGGACATCTTCTGGGACGAGTCTGTCCTGCCAGCACTGCCAAGGTTTATCAGGACCAGCACAGCAGCAGCAGCTCTCAGGACTGAGACCTGAGAGAAACAGCCACGCAGACACCAAGGTCAGTGAAGATGGAGCGGGAGGAGGTGTGCTGGAGCTCAGATTCTCCTGCAGCCTGTGGTGAGATGGCAGCAGCCCCCCTGCCACTGTAGAGATACTCAGTGGAGCAGAGATCCACTGCAGCCCGTCGAGAAGCCCATGCTGGAGCAGAGATGCTTGTACCTGAAGGAAGTCGTAGATTGGCTCAGTGCGAAGGATTCCACGAAGCTGCAGACTGACCATGAGGCAGGAAGGCACCAAAAGTCCATGGAGGACCACACATCAGAGCAGGTGGCTGCACCCTAAGAAGCTGTGACTCTGGGAAAAGCCCACACTGGAGCAATCTGATGGGTAAGGATTGTATCCTGCAGGAAGGACTCACATTGGAGAAAGTCTGTGGACTGTCCCATGAGGAGAGGATCCATTGGAGTGGGGGAAAAGAGGGTAAGGAGTCCTCCTCCTTTAAGAAAGGAGTAGAAAAACCAACGTGTGATGAACTGACCTGCAACCCCCCATTCCTCGTCCCCCTGTGCCACGAGGGTGGGGGCCGCTGGGGGAGGAGGTAGAGCCAGGAAGAAGGGAGGGGTGGGAGGAAGGTGTTTTTAAGATCTGGCTTTGTCCCCTCAAGTAACTGTTAATAAATTAAATTGATGTGTCCCCAAGCTGAGTCTGTTTTACCCGGGGCCATGGTCAGTGGGTGACTCTTCCCTGTTCTTACCTCAACCCTCAGGCCTTTTGTTACACTTTTCTCCTCTGCACCCCACAGAGGGAAAGGAGTGAGCGAGTGACCTTGTGGCAGCTTAGCTGCCAGCTGGGCAAAATCACAACACAAATTTAGCTTCATATCAATTAATCTGTTTTTTTTTTTCTTTGAATTTATGGAATGATGATGTCTAATTTTTCTTAAAACAGCTTTGTTATTTAATTCACAGAAATAAGTATTGCTCATCTCAATTTCTGTAAGCATCTAAGAGACGTGCAGCAGTATCACTACCAGCAGCTTGCATGAACTGGGATCAGTTTCGATAATTCCCGAACTCCTCAATACCCTCCATATTCTAAAGGACACAAAATAATGAGTTAGCCTTCTTGCTTTTCAAAAATTATTTTTGTTTAAATAAAATACATTTCTGATTGGAAGCACTCAAAGGGATTAACATACTTCCAACAATTATACTAATGACACCACTTAAAGAAAAATAACTTGTATAATGATGTAAAACCAATGCAGTCAAGGAGTTCATGACTGATGTATGTCCCCAGAACATCTCTCTCAATCATTTTTAATACTGACTTGTTTGCTTTTTTCTGTACTTAAAATCTTTGTAAGGCCTTTCCACTACCATATGGTTACTCACTTTTGAGCCAGCTGGCATAAAATAAATCCTGTTTAATGCTAGTATCGGCAAACTTGCATGGATTTACTCATTCTGTTCAGCCACCAAAAATATTTTCCTGGACAGATTTTAATTCTCATCAACATAAGTATGCGGATTTCCACTACTTAAACAACAGTTGCTCAATTCCCATACAACGAAAAACATATGAAGGACACGCTTTCTATTGCAAGATGTTCTAATTAATTCAGTAAGTAGGGTGATACTGACAACTCACGTCTGGACTGTAGAACTCCAACATGGTCTTGCAAAGGGCTTTGCAAAGATCCAGCCCTGGAAAACTGAGGAGTAAGACTGGAACCTTAGAGCAACTAAAAGGCTGAAGATTATATATGAGTTTACTCATATCTGTATTAAAATCCATTCTTCACACTAATTAACCCTCAGTTTTTTAAGTTTCATTTAATAAAGGTGATTGTAACACAGCTGTAGATTGAGAGGGAATGTATACAGGCATAGTACTAGACAGACAACATGGAATTTGTCCTAACAGATTAGACAATTAGTCAGACTTCAAGATGAGCTGTGGTTCAAGCAGTGCCAAAAAGAGTTACTAACACACCAAAATGAAAAACCAAAATGACACAAAATCATACAACTTTTGTAACTGTGTTCATGACATTAAACATCTCTTTCAGATATCTGGCTATCATCACGCCTTTGTTATGACAACAGAAGAAACAGACGTCCTGTTATTATGTATAAGAATTAAAGGTGGATTAAATAGGTTTGTGCAAAAGAGTTTAGGATAACTCTTTTAAATCAAACTATGATGAACTAGCTTCTTCAAAGTTATAGGTTACTCAGACTGCAAAAGCCTAGAAAAATCTTACATTGACTACGAACAACGATGAACAGAAATCAGTAAAGCTGGAAAGGAGTTTTGGGGGGCAGGGAAGGAGAGAAGGGAGAATGGACAGACTAATAGGTAGTCTCTAAAAAATACCACTTTTTGAGCATAGAGAGTTAAAGGAATCAAAAACTAAGATTTGCATTTTAAAAACTCCTTTACTTACTGGTGGGACTCAAGCTGCTCTTAAGCGCAGTTCACATTAGTAACAAAAGAAGCATATTTAAGCAATGTATCTTTCTGTCCCAACTTTCAAGCAAATACTCCCAGCTAACACAGAAGACACAACTGCATCTTAGATCATACGATCGATTAATCATCTGTTAATACAACACACTTTTAAGTTTTGTTTGAGATCAAAGCATATAAATAACTTATCAGAAAACTTTAAAGGCCACAAGAAATGTATTTAATATAATAGGCAAAACAAAATGCAATTTACACAAAGCAAAACAGAGTAACAAGTATAGTATACCTGCAGTCGGATCTTTGGCTAAAGCATTGTCCAAGGCACTTGTTATGGATTGGAAGAGATTCATCTTCTGAGTTTGCCCTGTGTGAAAGTGATTATTTAGCCATTTAATTTGGTTTGAAACACAAAGTACATTAGAAAACACTGGTGCAAAACATGACTAAAAACTTAGTTGACAGTCATAAATAAGATCCCTGTTAGGAGTATCCAAGACTCATGTGCTGAGTAAACTTAAATTATAGAATAGATGGGATTGAACATGGCATACTTTGCAATCCCAAAGATTATAATTCTACTACCCTGCATTCAGCCTTTTTTTCAAAAACTATCCTCTTAGCTAGAGCAAACGCAGCTTTGCAATGCTTAGTCAAACGCTAGGAACAACGACTAAGAAAACAGTTTTTTCAAAGGAAGAAACAACAGTGAAGTATTATCATTTTGAGGACTGGGATCTTCTCCACTAAGATTCACCAGATCTCACTGAACTTATTTTATCATTCTTTAACTATTTTTTGTAAAGCTCCAGCCTTTCCTGTTTACAGACACCTATTATTAGAAGTTTTCTAGATCATCAGCCTACTCTCTGGACTGCAGTTATAAAGTGTCAGAAACATCAAAGAAAGGAAACTCAATGCTGAACAGCTATGGGTAATGCAAATGCACCAGACTTCTGTATTAAAATCTTCTGCAGCACGGATTGAAAGAAAACCTTCAAAACCAAGAAAGGCTATCTGAGTGCCCTTTTTCACTCCCACACTGCAAGGAAAAACAAACAGGCCTGAAAGCAAAGATGGAGCAAAACAATAGCCCAGTCCCCACTACTGTGGCCAACTGAGATTCTGCAAGCAAATAAAATAATCCCTTACCAGAAACTGAATGAATAAGAAATTTCCTGGCTGACATCTGGTAGCTCTTTAACCAGCAAAACCTCTACCTAAAGCCATTACTAGGAGCCACAGCCCAGAAAAATACTAGCTACCTGCACACACACCATGTTAAAATACATCTTCTTAGATGAAGATCCCAGACAAACATGAGAATAAGTGTTAGAAACCAGAAAGGAGAACTATATTCTGTTTCCAGTAGCTATAGCATCTCTCAACAACTATTCAGCTTCCCTGTCTCCCAAATTGTTAATTAACATCAGCATTTTTTGTTAAAGACTCATGTCATGCCACATGAGAGCTGAGTAGCTGCATTCCTAGATGTTCCTGTGCTTAGTAGCTTCACTCGTTACACTTTACATGGCCCTTTAAGAAGAGGAAATTGTAAAAATAATTGCTATGGTAACTGTTCAAATCATATGAAAGCTACAAATCAACATTTACAAATTAAAGGGAAGGAAAGCTGGGGAACAGCAGTTGTTTCTCTTCTTTTCCAAGTCACCCACAGTAGCATTTAGGTTATCTCTTACACAAGATACAATCCTTCCAGCATTGGATATAAATAAACATCTATCATTTAAGCAACTGTCAGAAACTTCTCACACTGACTGTTCTGACCTGCTGCTCCTTCTTATAATAAAGGCCCCTGTATCAGCCCTCACAGGGAAGGAGAAACTAATTGTGCCCTTCAGATTTGGACTGTGGAGTTAGAGAAGCATTATCTTAGCAATATCAGGGTCAGCATTAGCATAACTTTGTTTTATTTTCGGTATTCACAGAATTTTGAAGTGTATTTTAAAGCAAAATGAGGTAGTTTTCTTTTAATAAATGGCAACAAAAACTGCCCTACTGCAGCTTCTTCACTATGATCTCAAGCAGGGACCTCCATCACATTGACTTTACTCCGCAACACCTTGGATGCCTGCACCTCCTAATGACTAACAAACGGCTGAGAGTTTTCTCAGACTTAAGGACAAAGCTGGAACACCAACATACCCAGCTAAGTAACACCTTTCTAGAAGGCAGTGTGGTTCATGTGAAAGAGCTATTCTGCAGCTGGTAGGCTTCTTCCAGGAGATGCACCTCAAATAAAGTCAAAACTTTCATCCTGAGCTATTCATGTCCAACTGATCTGTGTTTACTCTCAATCGTGTGATCGTGAGGATCACCTCAAATCTTTCACCAGCCTTTATTAACCACAGGTTTACTACCACATTCATGACTTAACCATGCAATAAAAAAAAAAACAGGGAGGGATGGATGGATGCATGTAAGTCATGAAGTTACTGCGAGAAGCTTTACCACCGAAACAGGACGGGGGCTGGCTTGCAGGTCCGGGCAGATGATGAATAGGCCTCTTGCAACCATCGCACTGACTGTCCGAAAACGCTTCCCCAAACCCCCGCGAGCGGTATCGCTGAGGCGCCGAAGAGTCCCGAAGCACCGCCGCCCCCGCCAGCGGCCCACGGGGGCCTTCCCACCCACAGCCCAAGTTTTTCGCGGAAAACCCGCAGGTGGAAGTGCCGCGGACACAGCAGGTCCCGGGGTCTCGCCCTCAGCGCTGGGGCCGGCGGTGGC